AGAACTTCATAGCCGGGTGTGCAGTATGCCAACAAAACAAGTCGGCCACTACAACACCAGCAGGCTTCTTGCAACCACTCCCAATACCAACCCAAGTCTGGGATGATATATCAATGGATTTCATCACAGGATTGCCCGTTTCTACCGGCAAAACAGTTATCCTTGTTGTAGTGGATAGATTGACGAAATACAGTCATTTCCTACCTCTATCACAATTGCTGAATTATTCCTCCGGGAAATTGTGTGCCTACACGGGCTCCCTAGCTCAATTGTATCAGACAGGGACCCTATCTTTATGAGCCGTTTCTGGGCTGAGCTTTTCCGCCTACATGGGGTTAAACTCTTCAAGTCAACTAGCTACCACCCCCAATCTGATGGACAGACAGAGGCGGTTAACAAGAGTCTCGAAACATATCCGAGATGCTTCGCGGGAGATTGACCAAGACAATGGGTGAAGTGGATCCACTGGGCCGAATGGTGGTACAACACCACTTTCCATAGCACCACGGGGATGACACCCTTCAGAGCTTTTTATGGTCGGGACCCTCCCCCTCTAATTCCTTATGAAAAAGGAACCACCATAGTAGCGGCCGTTGAAGAACAGCTAACGCAACGGGATGAGGTACTAAGGCAACTGAGACATCGTCTCTTACAGGCACAGCAATGGATGAAGCACACCTATGATAAACACCACAAGAATGTCCAGGCAGATTTCAGTTGCACACCAACAGTGGAACAAACTCAGCCCGCACTATTTTGGACCATTTAAAATCCTTGAGAGAATAGGGTCAGTGGTCTACAAGCTGGACCTTCCGACAACATCAATACTGCACCCTGTATTCCATATCTCCTTACTGAAGAAAGGGCCGAAGTCAGGAGTCATTACAAGTGCTACCCTTCCCACATTTTCAGAGGAAGGACAAGTGCAGACTGAGCCAGCCCACATCATTGATTTCAGACGGGTGCGCCAGGGTGAAGGAGTCATACCAGAAGCATTAGTTGTTTGGTCTAAACTCCCAGAAGAGGATGCAACCTGAGAATCCTACTTAGGTCTGCAATCAAATTTTCCCACATTAGACCTTGAGGGCAAGGTCACTCTAAAGGAGCGGGGGGGGGGGAGTGTAAAGACTACTGGAACAGAACAACAGAAGCAGTTAATCAGTTTTACAAGAGGAGGCCACGTCAGCACAACTAATCGTCCACTTGCAACAGCTGTAACAGAAAGAAATCAAAGATTGTAAACAGTATAAGTAGTGAAGCGCAAGGAGAAATAAGACAGTAATTCTTTCGGGAGGTTAGCTCTCTCTCTCTCTCTCTCTCTCTCTCCCTCCAACGAATTCAGGAGGTTGGCTCCCATGAAGAGCCCTGAGTTAGGCAGGTTCCTAACACAGTTATGGGGTAGGGAGGTTAGAGCAACCTCCCCACTCTTCATACGTGGGGTGGTTGCCTAACTCCCCCCCATAACCAACACTTTAAAATTTGAATTAATGTGGAGTGGGCCAGCTGTCAAATCTGCCCCCCCTTTCCAGCTTTATATTTATTTATATTATTTTATTTATTTATTTTTACATCATATATTTTTAATTATAAACAATAGTGATGTCTGGTTGTCTCCAGTTGTTTCACGGCTGGGATATAAGTATTTTGTCACCTTCATTGATGACTGCACTTGTTTTGCTTGGGCTTATTTTCTTCGAAAGAAATCTGAAGTGTACACTGTTTTTAAACACTTTCACGCTTATGTAACTACCCAATTTGATGCTCGAGTCTGTGCTAAGATCGGATTCAGGGGGAGATAATATTGATGGGGATTTTCAGAACTACCTGAAACAACATGGAATTCAACCCCAAAAATCTTGTTTGATCACCCCACAACAAAATGAGGTAGCAAAAAGGAAGAATGGGCACATCTTGAGTGTAGTCAAAACCCTTTTACAGGACTTCCATGTACCCTCTTGGTTTTGGGTGGAGGCGGCCAGCACTGCTGTGTATCTCATAAACCGTCTTCCGTCATCTGTTTTGAATAACTCTTTTCCTTTGCAATCTCTTTTTCACAAACCTCCAGACCTATCCATGCTCAGGGTTTTTGGTTGTGTTTATTTTGTCTACCTTCCACCCCATGAACGCACAAAGTTAACTACACAAGCAGCTTTGTGTGCCTTCATGGGATATAGTTCTAAACATAAGGGATTTCTTTGTTATGATCCCTTGGTTCGTCGCCTTTGAATCTCTCGTAATGTAGTTTTTCTTGAAAGTGTATCCCTTTTTGAACATATTGTGAAATTCCCAGCTCCTTCTATTTCCTTGTTGCACAGTTTTGATTCTACAGGCACCTCAGATATTGCATTGGCCCCTAGAGTATCTTGGTATGCTATTGGGGGGTTACCCTAGGCTAGAAAGCTTTTGGAAACCTGTAATAGAAAGGTTCACCAAAAAGTTAACCTTTTGGAAGAGGGGTTATTTCTATGGGAGGAAGAATTACTCTGATTAGATCCACCTTAGCCAACTTCCTTTCTACCTTTAGAATACCGGTCAGGATTGCAAACCTGGAGAAAATTATGAGATATTTCTTGTGGGAACCGGGGGATGAAAGAAGAGATCATCTTATAAAATGGGAACAGGTATGCGAACCTAAAGAATTGGGAGGACTTTGGAATTGGGAATCTAATAGAGAAATACAATATACAGCTCTACTAGGAAAATGGCTCTAGAGATTTCCTTTAAAAAGAAATAGATTGTGGCACAAGGTCATTGGAAGCGTTCACGGTACGGCAGAAAATGGATAGGATGCAACTTTGGCAACTCATACTTCTTCAAGATCCCCCTAGAAAGCAATAATATATGCATTACATTACCAACCTTTCTCAGTTTCACTCAGTTTGATGTGGGTAATGGGGAGAGGGTCTTATTCTGGGAAGATCTTTGGGTTGGGGATCTGCCATTGAAATAACAATTTCCCTTGCCCTTTTCCTTATCCAATTACAAAGCTGAACCCATCTCAAGATTTGGCTTTTCAATGGAAATTGGTATAAATTGGGATTTTGGATTTAGGAAAGATCTGAGAGATTTTGAACATGATTCCCTTGTCCTCTTACTATCAGAGCTAGAAAATGATTTCTTGAACCCTAACTCTCCAGATGGAACAATTCGGTTCCCTTCACCTGATGGCCTTTTCTCTTGTGCTTCCTTTTTTAACCTTCTTGTCTTGTCGGAGACTTTAGGGAAAACTTTCCCAGTTAAAGAAATCTGGTGTAAGCCTATCCCTCCTAAAGTACAAGCTTTGTGTTGGGAAGTGTTCCTTGGGAAGATCAACACCTGTAACTTGCTACAAAAAAGAAGGCCAAACAAATGCCTTTCTCCTCATGTGTGTATCCTTTGCAAGGAAAGTGGTGAGACCCTTCCTCATTTACTTGTTACCTGCCCTTTTATGTCTTGTATATGGAAATATGTTTGTTCCCTCTTTGGTTGCAGATGGGATCCTCCACAGGATGTGGTAGGCCTATCCAATTCCAGTTTCTTAAGTCAACAAAAGAAGAGAGTAAGAGTTATGTGGAGGACAGCAAGAGAAACGATGATCTGGACTGTATGGGAAGAAAGAAATTAGAGAATTTTTAATGAGAAGAGCAAATCAAAGGAGGAACTGTTTGAATCCGTAACAGTAAGGACAGCACATTGGGTTAAAAACTTTGGATCTCTTTCGAGAATTCTCAACAAATGACATAATACAATCCTGGACTGAAGTGGCACAAACAGTTAGACCTGCAGAAAGTGTAAGAACAGTTTCCAAACCTCCATCTTTCAATAAATTAAAGCTTAACTTTGACAGTAGCTCATTGGGTAATCTAGGAAGGGCAGGAATAGGTGTTTGTAGAAACCATGAAGGAGTGGTGGTGGCATTATTTTCAGGACCAATTGGCTTTGGAGATTCAGTACAAGCTGAAGTGATGGCTCTCTTACAAGGATTAAGGCTTGATGTACAAGTTGGAGTAAGGGAATTAGAAGTGGAAGGAGATTCTCAGTTAGTCATATTTTGGTCCAAGAATATCAGATCAGCTCCATGGAAATACAGACATGCTTTTAGGGAGATTGACACCTTGGCAAAGAGATTCAATTCCACTTTTGGGTGGATAAGAAGGTCTGCAAATGGAATTGCAGATGTATTGGTATTGACAAAGCAAGGAGCTGATAGAGATGGCTTGTTTAGGGCTAAATTGTAAACTGATGTACTTTTTTGAGAATTCTTTGTAACTGTAATTTGATAAGCTCCTGGGGATGACATCCCTGCCATCATTTGTACTGTTACAACTTTCTTTAAATCTAATAAATTAAACTTTTCTGCTGATCAAAAAAAAGTATAGCACTCCATATGCAATCTTTTCTGAAGTACAATTATTCATGAAACATCTTCGCCTACAAGTAAAACGTTTTTCATGTATAAAAGAATATCAAAGAATTACCAAAAAGAAAACTCCATGATCATCTGAAAGAATGTGTATAAGAAAATATAAGCAAAGAGTTGGTAAAAGAGTGTTATTAATTGGAAGGGGAGAAAGAACAGGTGAAAAGTCCTTCGCCACATAAGAAGCCAAAAGCACTACCTCATAACATCGACGGATATGAAGTTTCTTCAAGTTCCTGCATCCCTGAGCTATACCACATATGGCATCATCTCCTATACTTGAACAATCCACCAAGCGAATAGCTTGTAAGAGTTTGCAACCTCTACCAACTTCAGAAAGAGCAGTATTACCAATCCTTTGACAGTATAATAAAGCCAGCTCCGAAAGGCCCCTGGAACCAATGATACAGAACTGCAAGTTAATCAATCGCTAGAAACATGCAATCTATGAAAAAAAAAAAACAAAAACTATGGATGCACACTCCCTAGAGTGCTCATCATATTAACAATGTTGAAATCAGTTGTTCTCAGTTTTTTTATTTATATTTCTGTCCTTTAGTGCCGCAGGGGACACTCTTGTAATTCTACTTATTTTTATTATTAGTTGGGTCGCCCTAATATAAAAGCTAATAGCTGGCGCCGCCAGCTATGTGATTTTGAATCCAAAATTGTTCTCTTCTCTCTTCTCTCTTCCTCTTCTCTTCTTCTTCTTTGATATCCTTAACCTGAAAATATGGTATCAGAGCGGGTTTTCTGAGGTTAGAAAGAGTGCGATAAGTCTTCTCAATCCTTCCTTTTTTGACTTCACCTTTCTGTGGACCGAATCTGATCAAGAAGTAGATCAGACTGATCTGAAGGGGGTTCTACTAGTCCTCTTCCCTTCTTCCTTGTACCCAGGTAAGTGGGTTTTGGAGGTCTAGATGACCTGAAACTGCTATGTTCTCTTTGAACTGTGTTGCGTGATCCTGATATTTTTTTGTACCCAGATAACTGGATGGTGTAGGTCTAAATGATCTGTAACTATAAGACAACAGTTGGCTATCTTCCTTGGGAATTTTTTCAGTAGCTGTGTATCCAAGAAAAGTGATGAAAGGGTACATACAAAGTCAGCCTAGCACCAGAGTTGCCCTCTTTTGTCTCTGAAATGTCTTTCAGCAGTGTGCAAGCAAGTTTTTCCTATATGTGTGCTAGCCCTATAACTTACTCTTGACTGAACTGAATTGGAGATTGAACTGTGGAACTGAGACTGAATTGGGGATTGAACTGGGGCTGAACTGGGGATTGAACTGTGACTGAACTGTAATTGAACTGTGGCTGAACTGAACTGTAAATGAATTGTGGCTGAACTGTGACTGATTTTGAACTGAACTGATCTGTGAACCTAAATCTTATAACATGTCTTCTGAGGATTCTATCCTGTCTAGTGGGTCCTCCAATCAAAGTGGAGTGAGTGGGGGATTTGACATGAGTTTTCCCATGGCTGTGATACCTTTTGATGGTCTTAACTACCTAGAATGGTCAAGGGGAATCAAACTATACATAACTACCAGGGGGAAGGTAGACTATATTAATGGTAAAACTAAAGAACTGAAGTCTCAGAGGTAGAGCATCATAGGTGGAATTAGGAAAACAACATGGTGATGTCATGGCTATTACTTTCTATGTTGCCTCCAGTCAGGAAGACCTTCATGTGGGCAGAAACAGTTGTTGAGATTTGGGAGCAGGCAAAATCTACCTATTCAGAGCAATGCCATTATGCCAAAATATACCAGTTGCAAGCTGCCTCTTCTACTTGTAAGCAGGGGGAGAGGACTCTCTCAGCCTACTATTCAGATTTGACCTCAATATGGAAAGAACTAGATCACTATCAGAACAATGATTGGAAGTGTGATGCTGATGCTAAGGCCTACAAGTCTCTGGTTTCCCAACAACAGGTCTTTGCCTTCCTCTTGGGGCAGAACCTTGTATATGAGTCCCTCAGAGTTCAGATATTAGGAAGTAAATATCTTCCTTTAGTACAAGAAGTGTATGCTCTAGTACAATCCGAAGAGAGTAGGCAGTGTGATGAATAGCTCCAAGGGGGAGCAGATTGCCTTAGTGGCTAAAAGGAGTGTGGGTGTAGGAGGCAATAATTCCTTTAAGAAGGTGACTTCCCAAAGAGAGTGGATGAGATGTAAATCAGTCCTCTAAAACTGATGTAAACTTGGGAAAAATTAGAGAAAAAACAGGAAGAAAAGAAGAGAACAACAACACAAAAGAAAGAAGATGGAGAAAAGAAGAGGAAGAAGAAGAAGAGTTCGAATRTCTCTTCCCTCCCTTCTCWAATCCTTTTACTAAACTTCAATCTTAGCATAATTACAAGTATACCCTTAAGTGGGTGGCCAGCTAGGCAGTAACATAAAGAGAACTAGTAAAAAGAAATAATAGGCCCATTATCCATTAGCTAATAGATAAATAAAAACATACTACAAGAAAAGATACTAGGGCCCATTCGGCCAGTCTCTTTACACTCCCCCTCAAGCTGAGCATAAATGTCAACATGCCTGGCTTGCTTATATAATGTGTCGGCTTCCCTCTCGGAACTCCCTTAGTCAAAATATCAGCCAACTGTTCTTCTGAGGTGATGAATGGCAAACAAACTTCTCCTGAGGAAACTCTTTCCTATATAAAAGGTCTATCAACCTCAATGTGCTTAGTTCTATCATGTTGAATAGGATTATGTGCAATATTGGTAGCTGCTTGGTTGTCACAGTAGAGCATCATTGGCTTCTCATAGTCAACCCCCAATTCTTCTAAAAGGGATCGTAGCCACAGTAATTCTGACACACCATGTGCCATTGCCCTGCATTCTGCTTCAGCAGAGGATCTGGCAACTACGAACTATTTCTTACTCCTCCATGAAACAATGTTCCCTGCCACCAAAGCACAACAACCCGAGGTGGATCTCCTATCATCAATACATCCTGCCCAATCAGCACCAATGTATGCTTCCAGCTTCACGTGTCCATGTTTGGCAAATAGAATACCTTTCCCTGGAGTACCTTTCAAGTAACACAAAACTCTTTCTACAGCAACTAAATGAGTTATCTCTAGGAGAATGCATAAATTGACTAATAACATTCACTGCATAGGAAATGTCCAGCTGAGTCATGCAGAGATGTAACAATTTCCCAAGCAGTCTCTGAAACACTCCCTTATCGGATAAAAGTTCACCATCTGTAGTAGAAAGCTTATGATTGGGATCAATAGGAGTGGAGGCTGGTTTAGCACCAAGTTTAACAGTCTCAGTAAGAAGGTCAAAGATATATTTGCGCTGAGAAATTAAGATACCATCCTTAGATCTAGCAACTTCAATGCCCAAAAAATATTGGAGATCTCCTAAATCCTTGGTCTCAAATTCAGAGTTAAGAAATCTTTTAAGTTTATTGACCTCTTGGGTGTAATTACCCGTGACCACAATATCATCAATATAAACTATCAGAAAGGTTACCAAAGAGCCACTTCTTTTCAAGAACAAGGTATGGTCAGATTGAGTTTGTGTGTAACCAAATGAGACAAGAGCAGCCCTGAACCTCTCAAACCAAGGACAAGGAGAGACTGTTTGAGACCATAAATGGATTTCTGCAGTTTACACACCTTCCCTTGCATTTCCTTTCCCTACACCCCCGATGCAAAGACATATAGACCTCTTCATGTAGATCTCCATTCAAAAAGGCATTTTTAACATCAAACTAGTGGAGAGGCCAATCAAAAGTAGCAGCTAGAGATAACAAAACCCAGACTGAGGTCATCTTAGCCACAGGAGCAAATGTCTCAAGATAGTCAATACCATACATCTGAGTGTAGCCTTTAGCAACCAACCTGGCCTTAAACCTCTCAATAGAGCCATCAGAATGATATTTAATGGCAAATACCCATTTACAACCCACTGGTTCCTTCCCTTTTGGCAAGTCAACAATATCCTAGGTATGGTTCTTATGCAAAGCATCCAGTTCATCCATCATAGCATCTCTCCATTCAGGTTTAGATAGGGCTTTTGGTACAGACCTAGGTATCACATGAGAAGAAACAAAAGCAAGAAAAGAGTAGTAGGTAGGAGATAGAAGGCTATAGGACAGATGTTTAGAGATACAATGGGTTGTACACTTCCGCTTACCCTTGCGAAGAGCAATGGAAAGATCAAGGTTTGGGAAAGAAGTAGATGGGCCAGAGGAAGGCTGACCTGTTACCTCAGTCATGATGAGAGGAGCAAGAGGCTCTTCTGTAGGAGTGGAAACAACTTGCCCATGTCTGAATCTGTGTCTTTGGTACCACCTTTGGAGAACAGGATGAGGAGGAATTATAGGGGGATGAGGTGGAGGAGGAAGAGGAGGAGCAGGAATACTAGAGGTATGTCCAGTGGGAGAAGTGGACACCTCATCAGATGACTCAAAAGGAGCAGGAAGAGGAACTGCTAGAGACATAGCAAAGGGTTCCTTAAATTTCTCCCCCTTAGGAGGAATACTAAAGAAAGGAGTAGAGTCAGCAAATGTGACATCCCGAGATACAAAGCGGGTGCCACTAACCGGATCAAAAAAGCAATATCCTTTCAGCATGGGGGCATATCCCAAAAAAAACACATTTACAAGCCTTACGTTCAAATTTGTGCCTTTGATGGCTGTGAACATGCACATAGCGGGTGCACCCAAAAACACGGAGAGGAAGAGAGAAGAGATCCTCATCTAGAAAGAGAAGGCTAAAGGGGGTTTTGAAGCCAAGAACCCGGGAAGGCATACAATTAATCAAAAAGGTAGCAATAAGCACAACATCTCCCCAAAATTTTATAGGAACATGGGATGCAAAAAGGAGGGATCTAACAACTTCAACCACATGCCAGTTCTTCCTTTCCACCACTCTATTCTATTGTAGAGTGTAGGAACAAGAACTTTGATGAATAACCCCAAAAGTTTCAAGATAGGTTGAGAGGGTTTTCTCAAAATACTCCTTAGCATTATCAGAACAGAATATTTTGATCCAGGTGTTAAACTAGATTTGTCTACAATGCTTTGCCAATTCACACGATTCACAATGAAGACTTGATAAAGACACCCCCATAAACATATTTGGAAACAAATGACTCAAAGCAGAAAAAGACAAATGACCAAACTGAAAGTGACATAACATGACTCTGTTAACAGACTCTTGAAGGGATGGGAGATCCATCATATGGATGACCGAACCCTACGGAAAGGTTGGGTGAAATTTCAAAAATTTCTTTACTCTCATCCGGGAATCCTATTCCCAATTCAGAAAACTGCATTTTCAAGTTTCGTTCTTATAACCAAACCAGACCAAATTTGAAACCAAATTAAGGGAGGGATATACCTGATACGGAATCGATGCAAGAATGCTC